AAGGAATCCAGACACACTGTTGAACTGCAAGCAATTCCAACACTGCAGGAGCCAAAACCTCGTATGAACAGACAGGTGGCAACTCTGTTTGCTCTTCTGGGTGTTTGTTACTGAAGTATGTTCTATTATTTCCATTTGGTCTTTGTTTAGAGTTCACCCAGCGCCTGCTCTTTTAGTGCTAATGTGAACTAAGATATTCCAACTGCTTGCACAACTTCTGAACTGGCCTGAGTGCCAAATCCCACAAGCAAGCATTGACTTCTAGACTATAGGCAGATTACAACCCGTAAGCATTGCTGGAAGTGTTGCAATAGTATAGGCTAGTTTCAAGGACTTGCTTGGTGGTCTAAAGGTTTTAAAAAAAGCATTTTTTCATAGAGATTTTTTTCATTTCTTTGGTTGGTAACTTCAGACTTCAAAAGTACTTTGGAGTTCTGCATAATTTATGAGACCTGTCAGGTGCAAAATGTGTCCCAGGGGGATGCCAAGCTATGGTTTAAGAGAACTAGGGAGCCTTCTTCTTCATGGTGGTGTTGACAAACTCTGTCAGTCATGGTGCTTGGAAGTATTTTTCACCAGCTGTGGCTGGAATGGCTTTGATTTACATCGGGTGACTCTGATTTCTTTCAGCACATCTTTGATTCCTGGCTCTGCTAATGTGCTGAAATGTGGGAGAAGGGGAAACACAACCTCCTGTGTGCTTTCTGCATGGTTCTGCATGCAGTGTCAGGATGTGGACACTTCTCAGTCCCTCACATCTTGCAAAGCTGATTCCTGGGGAGACCAGGAATTGGGGAGGGCTGACCAGTGGTCTGGAGCGTGGGAAGGAATCTACCTGCTGCAAAGGCAGAGCTGAGAGATCTTCCTTCCTCCGCCATATCCATGACTTTGGGAATATTTTGAGGCTATCTGAATTTGATAATCTTTTCAATAATTTCTATTCTATTTTCCTTTTTCATAATTTAACCTGATTTTTTTTTTCTTCTGTAGGAATGTTTTGGGGACAGCTTGTGCTTAAGTGATAGCATATTCAACTATGATTTCTTGTCAGCTTTTCAGTGTCATGGTTTTACATCCCTTCCTTTCATTCTCCCTTTAGTATCTGCTGCCCTAAACAAGTCTCTGTGCTTCTCTTCTTGATGGTAAATATACAGAGAACAGCAGCAAAGGATTAGAGGGCCGTAGTGCACTAAACTCATAACAGAAAAATAAACAAGAAGAAATGATAAAATAGCACTTTAGGATTGTTCTCCGATCAAATAAATCAAACAAACTCTTCAGTATGATGCTCTGATGTGTGGGTTTCTTAGCTTATCTGCTGTTAAGAACTTTTATGCTGCCTGGATGACGATTATGAATGCCAGTCCTTCGTGAACACCAAGAGGAAGGTTGGTTATCCGTTTGGTCAATAGTGTTTATAAACATCAAACTTTTGGGTTTGGCTGAACACTTGAAGTGTTTCAGCTTATATATCTGTAGCCTGAAAAAGCCATACATAAAACAAGAAAACAAAGTGGGAGTGGGGGGAATATACCATAAGTGAAATTTGGATCTTAGTTTTGAGAGTATCCAAACAGAAAGGCTGGACAAGGACACTGATTGCAGCTCAAGAGCTTGTGTTTCTTGTTGTACACAAGATTGAATACTCATTTACTGAAGAGTTGTTCAAACTCTTGAATGCCATCCATCCTGCAGTCGCCATCCTGAACCTCTGACACAACCAAGGCTCTAGTCAGCTCTTGCAATGCAATAAATCACAGCTCTCCTCTCCTGGGCCTGATCACCTGATCAAGCCTTCAATACATGTAGGAAAATCTCCAAAACACAGTTTTTGCATTCTGCTTGGCCCAAATACACTCGTTTGCCATGCAATAAGAAAGGTGAGGTCAGTCTTCCTTTAGAAGGAAGTCCTTCCTTTAGGACTTTGGTTATGTTCCACCTATATCCTCTCTCCCTACAACAACATTTTACTTTGTGCAATATAGATAAGGTCTAATGTCTCTATGACCCTGAATATCTTTCTCCGTGTAGTCAGTAACTACAAATAGGATGATGCATGTGGAATATATGCCACTGCATATGAACAATGAATGTTTTGTTCTGTTCAATATCATTTATTTTAGACAGAAGGATATATTTAAAATGAACTAATTAAAATGCAATATTTCCATTCTGAGTTTCCATTCAGAAACAGCAGTGTTCTTAGGAGACGTGTGGACTCTAAAGAAAGTGGGACAGTAACAAAGAAAAAAGCCCAAAATCTTTGATTGCAAAGAGGATGAGTGATCATAGGGTTCAGTGAAAAGATGGAGTAGCCTGAATGTTATCAGACAGGCAGATTCAAAGATGAAATATCCATAACTGTGAGTAGGATATTGGAGACTCGTCTTGTTATTAGTGTGTTTCACTGTTTAGTAGAAGGCACAGCTGGATCAGGAACTTCCAATAAAAATAAACTGAAAGGAAAATCTCTCTAAAGAACTGCAAGATGACTTGGACAGAAAAGTGATGATTTCACATACCCTGGAAAGAGGGAAAAGATGGCTCTTTCACTCTATTTGAGTGCTCCATTTGAGCAGTACTGAGGAGAGGAATGAATGAAATGGTAAAGAAGCTAATAAAGAAATGTTCCATAGAGTGCTTTAAGCATGAGATTCAGGGAGTAAATTGAAAGGAATATGAAGACAGGAAATCCAGGCTCTTTACTCTTGGAAGTAAATTCCAAGCAGGAGCAAAGGAAGTGTTAGCATCATTAAGAGCCCTGTATCTGTTACACACTGATACAGAAAGAAACAAGTGAATGGAAAGGATCTGTGCAAAGAAGTCTAAATACAGTCCATTTTTGGCTTTGCCATTACCTTGTGTGTGACCACAGCCAAGTCATTTTACCATCCCTGGGATTTCCATTTTTAACTTCCTACTATGGAAACATCTCTGGTTCCAAGTTTGCAGGGATCCTAGCACAGGAGGTCCTCAGGTTTTGGGGGCCTTCAGATGCCGTGGTAACAAACTAAATATTGCCCATCTATAACAGAAACCATAAAAATGGGGCTAGGTTCAAGTACAGACATAGGCTGCTTTGTGAAAGGTCTGGAAAAATGATGGTAATAATGCAGAGGAAAACACAAAATGTCTGTACCCTTACTAGGGAGGAGGAGCACTCATCTGCTTTGAAATCTCTGCTCCTTCCTTTTGTCCGTTCCATCCTTCTTGCCGTTCCTCTTACATTGTGCCCTGATTTTTATAGCTAGCAGCTGACATCCAGCAGCTCCCATCTACGTGTGTCATTCCCAACTATAGCTTACACGTTGCTACAAACTGCCTTTCTGGTCCTGTTTCCATGGCAATGCAATGGAAATGGCAATGGAGAATAAAATAAGGGAAAAGCATCAAAAGAGAACAATCTAATACCTTCAACTTATTTTGGCTTAGTAGAGGTACCAAGGCAAATGCTTTCTATCTAGAATGCTTTCAATGGTGGATCTCAAAGGGCTCTCCGAAGATCCACTGCAGCTAAACTCAAACCATCCCTGAGATAAACATTATTCTATTTATAGCGGGGGAACAGAATTTTTTGATTGGAAGCTCTTTTCTCAGGTATACAGAGTCCTTGTTTCAGACCTGACCTTATAGATACTGCAGAGTATTGAGGTACATTATGCAACAGGACCATGATAGCATGTTCAGGGATTGACTCATCCCTTTCTTTCAGGGATAATCTTTCTAGATGGAGGAAGGACCTCCAGTGTTACAGATTTTGATTAAATATCACCAATAATAACAAAAATTCAATGTCTAGCTTTCGCTCCCTCTTCCACTCAGAAAAATCACATCAGGGAAAAACAAAGCCTTTCAAGTACCTTGAGAAACAATTGCCTATATCGTATGTCTGACCTTCTCACTCCTATTTCCATGGAAACAGATCAGAAAAAAAATGCAGTAGAGTGGGAACAGGTAGGCCAGTATAAGTCCTAGTTCTTGCTAATAGACTCTGACTCCAGGTTGGATGCATTTTAAGCAAGGAAATTAAAAAGATGCTGTATATCTGAAGGTGGATCTCTCCTAAGTAGGCATCTTCACCAAACAGTTGGAGTTCTCTTTTCATGGTGTTGATATTACAGTAAGCTTCATGGCATTGCAAGATCTCTTCAGCTATGTCTTTGATCACAACAAACTTTGCCTAGTAGTCCTGTGGTAAAATGTAGTGGAACAGGTACATATGAAAAACAAAATCTTAAAAGTATCATCACACACATGATGAAAATAGACCTATCTGTCCGCCTGTGCATCATCTCTGGATATGGATTTCCACTGCGACAAACATAGCACTAATTTAATATATCAGTTGCAATACTGTTTTCTTTGCTTTTTGGGGTGAGACAAGCATGGTATTGAAACATTATTAATATCATTAATCCTGAATAGTAACACAGCAGGGAACACAAGAGCATTTTCCCCTATGGGTATTTGCTTTACCTAAGCTTCCTTGCCCTCGGTTAAAATTTGTATGCGCATCAACAAGTCCATGGGAGGCAGCAGACCACAGAACTGGGATAGAGGTTCATGGAGTAGGAGGAGGCTCCCAGCTTCCTCTCATCCCTGACAGAACCAAGAGGGAATGAATTAGAGGAAGCAGCACTGATGGCTCCTGCATGGTTGTTTATTTAGTGTCAAAGACAAGAGCGATGACAGAAAATTCCAGAACAGCCTGCAACACACTGCTGGGATATTTTACATGGGTCACAGTGACATTTAGCAAAAGGAAAGGAAGAGGTTTCTGGGGCTTTTTGCTGTCTTCCTGGTACAGAAGTGATCCTGCAAAGCTGGGTGCATGAAAGAACACTTTTGCATAGACTGAAGGTTGTTGTGATCAGCCTGGGATGCAAAGTTTGCCTGTGGCATCATTTTGCTGGGTAAATGGTCCTCCCACGATGCCCTCCCAGATAAGGTGTCTGCTCTGCACACGAGCTCTTGGCTGTGGTCGCTGTCACGCTTCGCCAGGCAAACCGTGCTTACTCTCGGGAGCAAGATCCCATGCAACCTTAAAAGAAAAAAGCTCTAAGACAGTGTAATTCTTCATTGCAGCCACTTCTGAGCTACTTCAGACTATCATCTGTCTGCACTATGGATCATACAGTTAGAAAATGCAAAAACAAGTAGCTTGCTGTCCTTTGAAATAGCCCGAGGTGCTTGGAAAGGGAGGCTGAGGGATTTTTGTGTGTAAAGGAGAGTCACTGAGGGACAGGAAGCAGGAAAACACTCTGGAAAACACACGGGTAGGAAAAGAGGGGCCGTCTGAAGCAGTCCTGCTGGCAGGGCGAGCCAGGGGGGAGCGCAGGTCAGAGGGTAAAATCAAGTCTTGCAACAGGCTTATTGGGAAAAAGCAAATAAAGAGTAAGCAAGGGGGTCGTGATCTGCTTACTGGGTATTCAGGAAGCAGGAAAATCATCGGACTTGCAGCTAAAGATATTAGCTGTAAATTATTCATTTCACCTGGATAACTAGTCAGCCTGTTCAGTCTTGTAGCCCACTTTGCATTTCTTTATAGATGTTGCAGGTAAATGCAGACTGGTTACTTAGGTAAGCCCTTCTGATAAAGGCACAAGGTAAACTAGTCAACTTGCTTACAATGGCTTCCTGCCCAAGGGCACTTGACATAGATTACATTGCACAAAGAAATAATTCAGATGTGACTCTGCAACAACCACATGACTTGCACTGAGCCTTTATTAGAAACTTTGTTAATTGTTTACATATGCAATTAAAAAGCATACACTTCATTTTGGCATGAATAGAGCCACTATATTCCCCTTGAACTTTACTCAAAAAAAACCCTGAATTTAGTGAAAGTAAAGTAGACATACCTTTATCCACAGATCCAAATGTTTGGGTTTGTGTCAATCTGTACTGCAGAGAACTGCTTAGTGACAGAGTCCTTCCACTCCAGCAAAGGAAAGCAGGAATTGCCTTATGCACTGGCTTATCTATTACCTTAAGATATTACTTGTAAAGAGAATTTGCAGCCCTTGGAGAACTCTTTCCAGAGCTAGGGAACAGTCAGGACAAGCCTGTTCAGAAAAAAAAGAGGCAGCACTAAAATTCAGCTCTACTTTGAACAATTTTGAAAATCTATGTCTTCTGAATTAAATGAGATTCCAGGAAGCCTGACAGACTTCATGCCTTGTTGGATGGAAGCAGAGCCTGTAAGCTGGGACAATCAGAACAGTCGGCTTGCTACTTTGGAGTAACAGAAAACAAAACTGATTTCTTGTAAGGAGCCTCATTTCCATGGGCTTCTGTCCTGGGCTCTCAGGAACTTGCACACATCTCTAAGCATGGGCTCCCACAGGTCGCAGTTCACCCAAAGCTCTTCCCTTGCAGGCCAATGTTTGCTCGTACCGACATGCTCTTGTAGCCTGTGTAGCTTGTGTCAGCCCTCCCCTAGACAGAAAATGTGGATGTTTCTGTCACACCCACAGTCAATGTCCTGTGAGGGGTCAGTGTCCTACGGTGGTTCCTGTTCTCCAAAACACCACAAAGTCACCCCCTCCTCACACTTTTTATGTGTTTTGGGAGCCAGGGGCAGGTCCCTTTCTCAGCAGATTCTCAGATCTACACTCTGACTTTATTCCATGGCCTATTAAAATTAAAAGGGTAAAGGCGGCATACAGTGGAGTGAGGTAGGGTAAATCTGGAAAGGATTTTCACTTAAATCATCTTTTGGAAGAAATTTTGCTTGTTTACTGGAAACCCTTCAGGTCTTCTGAGGAGAGAACCAACCTTTGTACAGGGGCAGTCCAGCTCATTCTTGATTTGCAGGAGTTGCATTAGACGTGTCTAAGAGGAGTCGTGTGTCTCACACAGTGGAGCTCAGCCTTGGTCTACTTCAGTGGCTTCAGCATTTCCTGAAGGGTGAGAGTGTTCAGCTGACAGATACCAATAGGGAGTCTCTGACTATTTGCAGATTGTAGCTGCCACGTGCAGGTTGTAGCTAAGGGACACCAGGGAGAATAGGATTGTGGAACCATCCATGTATGTAAAACTTGCATTGCCTTTCCTGCTGATCTGGTTGAGACTGTAACCTTAACCGTGCTTGAATTTTGCAAATACAAACTTTCCCTTCCAAACATCCTTTAAGAATCTTATCAGCAATGCTGAACTGTTTTTGCATCAAGCTAAATTGCCAAAATAGCTATTTAGATGGGTTGTGACTCAGAAGATCTGGCTTCTGTTCCAAGCCCTATTGCTTTCTTCTGTAGCCTTGAGCACATCCCTTCTTCTGTCAAATAGGTGAATTAATAGGGATGTGGTGGGATTTAATTAGCTAATGTTTCACTTACTTGGATGCAGAAATTATCATGGACACGAAGCACCTTGAGAAGAAAGGGAGCCTGTGGAAAATACCAGTTAGGTCTATACTGCATCATCATAGCACCCAAGAATGAAGAAAAGGAAGAAATAACCTTCTAGAAAATTCAGGACAGTCCTGGAGATATCTGGAGTCTCTGGAAATACTTTCACATTTATCAGATCAGAGCCTTTCAGATTTTATTATGTAGTTAATTAACAAGTTTATTCAAATATGAATGTTTATATTTCTCTATATCTGTAGAATTATATGCTGATATGGTTATACAGTTCTATAGCTTTACAGTTGTAGTTATAAATGTAGGTTATAGAGACAGTTTATACTTTTTAGATGTAACTCTGTACCTAACGATAAAATTACACTCGTACACGTATATACACCTCTCTCAATCTACATGTATTTTTCTGCTTTAAAGAAGCAGTGAAGACTGCTTCCAGCATAACAAGAACCTCTCCTGATAAAATAACAACATCATCTCAAGTCTTATCTGCACTTCTAAGTGTGGTAGAAATCAACCATCTATTCAAAAGTTATTGGGAAGACAAGTAGGCAAACAAAATAACATTCGTTGCCTTAGAAAAATGGGCCAAAAATCAAGCTTCGTACCTGGAATGATTTCTATACCACTAACACAGTGCCACTTGAACAAGCGGAATTAATTCTTTTCAACTGTCCTTACAGAAAATATGCTCTATCCAGTTATTTACCTTTTTGCACTCTAATTTCACTGGGTTATTTACTGTGTCTTTCAGACTCACATTCCCTTTGCTGTCCTATTCCTTCTTCTTGTTGAATACAACTTGTAAAACAGCAGGCAAAACTGTGCACACCTGGGCTACTCATACCGTGGGTCAGTTCCTCCCTATTTAGCAATTTCGTCTTCATCTGCAAATACCTCTTATATTAGGCCTGTCCAACTGACAGGCCAGGGACTGTACCTATCTTGTGAAATGCTTCTATGCAGACCCGAACAGCCTCACATACCTGAACCCCGAGTCTCTGGGCTGCTGTTGCATTCAACTCACTGGCCCACAGCTTTGTCCCAAAACTGATATCCCAGGTTTGGAAAGAGTGGAAAGCCTTGCATGAACCTCCTCTCTCCCCCTTCAGTGCAAACACACAAAGGCCTCTGTTGCTTTCCTCCCATTGCCTAGAAGGTCCCGCAGAGTACCGAGCTGAGACACACACAAAAGCATCAAGAGAGAGCAAAAAAGAAAGTGAGGAAAAAAGCAATGGTTTATAGCATCCACTACTTTGTTTTGTGTTTCTTTCTTCTTCTTAATACAATTTATGAAGTATTTTTGCGTCTACACAAAGAAGAAAGGTAGCTCTTTCTGAAGCAGAATGTGGGCATGTTGGTGGTCATCAGCAAGCGAGAGCTGTGAGAGGTGCTGACGTACAGAGGGCATTTTTAATACAGATTTGAAACACATTCATGGCGTGAAAGCCATTAATGTGCCCTTCTCTGCTTCCTCCTCCAAAGTCCTGTCCAGACTCTGAAAAAGGAACCAGAGCTGTTTTCAGAAGCCTGCAGTCTCAGGCTACTGACAGATCCTGTTCCACCAGCAGTGGCCACAGAGCTCAAGACAATCTCAAGGAATGCTCCCAGTAAAGGCATTTCCAGCAGCGTCAATTTTCCACTCAAAACATTGTATGGGTAGGACTCCCACATATTGCCAGAGAGGGCCAACCTACAAACAATTGCTTGTGGTCTTAAGAAACTAATGAGCATTCCTGTCTGACCCCAGTAATATCACAGAATATTGAAGAAATTCAGTACCATATATAAGGGATTCCCTTCCCTCCCTTTCTCCATCCCATCTTCATGACCTCCCACTATCAAACACAGTATAAGCTTCCAAAACTTCTTACTCAGCAGCCCGATCTCCAAGAACAGGAGAAATCTCTAGGTCTCCTGTCATCCCCATTTACAAAGCTCTGGGTGCTTAAGCTACTTATCATCTAGGAGGGCAGTGCAGGTACTGGTGTTTGGTCCCATCTATCTTTTGTTGTAACAGCTTTTCTGCTCTTCATCGTGTCTGATTCCCTGTTCTCCTGCTCTTCCATTACCCTGCCACAGCTCCAGTGAGAAGTGTTTAATGCTCTAAAATGTAGCAGCTGTAAATATTTACACAAAACCACAATACATTGTGGAGCTAACACTGTGTGGCTATTGGAAAGCCTGAGTACATTACTTACTTTCCCTCCTTGATGCTTCTATAGTTTTTGTTATTTTCTGTATTTTTTTAAGCTCACAAGGGCCAGGGTTGCTTTTTCCATTTGTTTTTGCATTATGTTGGTCATGGTGGACTCTCTTCAACAGTAAGAATGATGATCAACAGGAAGATGGACATGGTTTTGAACAGAGCATGACATGAGGAAGCTAAGCCATGCCAGTCTGAATAAGCATCATAATTTTTGAAGCTTACTGGTAGTCTCTTATTCCAGGCATTAATTTATTAGAACCACCAGAATAAATGAATTATCAGATTTTGTGCACTTTTCAGTGCTTCAGTAGATATCCTGTCAACTGCAGAAAATCAGTTTTTGCCTGAAGGTTTTCGGTTGCATAAATAACCTATTAACCCAGCAGGATGCAGCTTGAGCTAGCGCAAAACATCCATGTTACACTTCATTTTTGAGAGCATGTCTTTCTCCTGTCCCTTTTGGCTGTACTACTAGTCCTGGATCCGACAACATGCTTTCATCCGGTCACAAGGGGGAAGGAAAGCAAGAAGGTTTTTTCATGTCTTCAGTGAAATGCTGTGAAACATTTCACTATAATCCCATTTCTCCTACGAACAAGACACCAGCTGCTGAGATTCTGCTTCAGAGCACACAAGGCATTAGGGAAAAATGGTGATCTCCCGACTGCGCTCTGGCCTGTCAGACCTCCCCATTCCTGCATTTGCTATTGATTTTCATGTTCTAACAGGGTTAGAGAAATACACGGCCTCCTTCTCTAACGAGGTGGCAAATGAGAGAAGGATCACAAAAAATAGATATTTTTGCAACTCTTCCTGCTATTAGATGAATTTAGGTCCATAGTGTTTCATAAAATTAAGAGTACTAGATCAGACAATATTGATGGAGTATGAGGAAGGGCATGTGAGCATGTTTTAAGACAGTGAAACATCTTGAAAGATCTCCACTGAGTGGAATAAAATTCAATAGACTCCATGTGCTGTTGAAGGTTATTTTTTGCAGCACAACTTTTGCCTAAATGCACCCTCCCTGCTGCTGTAATCTGTATTAGTTGGCCACAGATTCTTCAAAGAAGATGAAACACTGTTCTCTCCTGAATTTCACGTTTATTAAAAGATTTCATCTTCTCCTGTGTAATGTTTGCATCACAACACAAATCATCAGCTTGCTTTGACCCTGACACCGTTTTATAGGCTTAATAATAATAAATCTATGTCCTGAAATAGTTTCTGCAGATTATAGCAATCAATCAAAATTCAGGGAGCCTTAAACCATTAATGTCATCGGCAATGATCCAGCACCCTGGGAATCCATCTAAATCAGCCATTATTACTGAAAATGCTCCTTAAGAGCCTTAAGATAAAGGTAGTATTTGGGAGCATAAATTGCAGTTCTGTTTTTATCAGCCATTGAGGGATGATTTTCATAGTGATTTTTGTATCTGTTTTGAGCAAGACAAAGCCAGAACAATTCTTCCTTTTGCCTCATGCAGCTGTTTTGGTTATTGTAATAGAAAAATAGAAGCCAATACATGGAAGATTGCTTTACTAGTATGAGACTAAATTATTTGTTATATAAAGAAGTTGCTGCATTTTTGAAAGAAAAGAATTGTCATCACAAGTCTTCAGTGCACTTTATATGGCAGCATTTCAAGTTCAAGGCCACACTCCTAAGGGAAGCTGTGCTCAGTTTACTGGATTACAGATATCTGCAGGTTTTGGTAATTTCAT